GACAATGAAACCTTCTGTCAATGGTCGGATTTACGACGGGCCCAGCGTCGCTATTCATTCTTGTAGGTACATAAACAAAGAGCGGACTATGCAGGGCGTTATTTCAAGCCCATGGTTCAGGGCGACATTTATGCGGGGAACAAGAAATGAGGTACTCTACCGCAAACAAAGAAACGACAAACACACGTAAGTGCAAAACGTTTCCTCTTATGCTCGGAAAGGCATGTAAACTCATTGTTGCCTCTTCTCCATAATGCTCATTAGTTATCGTGATGTCGCGATGCAGCGAAGAGAAAAATTAATTAACGGTTACGCGCTTGTTATATCTGATATACGAAAAATTGAAAGTGTAAATATTACTACAAGAGAAAGCCCTTGGGAAGCATATCCAAGCAATGTTAGACATTAAGCGATCGAAATATTTTTTAACCAGAATAATCGGAAATTAATAATTACAATTCATCAATCATCATATATTTGTAATCACGAATAACAAAATCGATTGATGAAATTAATTATTATTTAATCATGTCACAATTTAATTAATAATTTTATTCATCAATCGATAAAAATATTGTGATTTTATATATGACGATTGATTAATTTTGATTATTGACTTGTCAATCCAAATTCGATTTGCTGTATAGTTTTAAAGTAGTAGTTTCAGCAAGAAAAAGAGAAAAGAAAGGAGAGAGGGAGAGAGAAAGAGAGGAAGGGAGAGAGAACGTAAAGACGAACATAATAGAGATGCAACGTCTTCTGTCAAGATAAAACACGATGAAAATTCTGAAAATTTTGTTATTCTGACAACGACGTTGCACCACGTTATTGACGAACAATATACTTTTTCATAAGTCTCTCTTTTCCGCGGCATACGAAATAACGGGGAAACCGTGGAGGTTCGAGCGAGACTTTCGCGTGTAATTAGCGACGAGATAAAAAGAGCGGAGCTCTCTTTGTCGGGAGAATTAATGTTCTCACGCATAGTCAATTTATTCCGCCTTGCCCGGAATTCATTCTGTATGCATGAAAAGTTAAGAGTACGCCGGGCTTTACATGCATGCGTTCGCTCTAATGCAGTAATCGAGTTAACAGCGCGCTAACGTCACACGTGTGACGCGTGACATACCCGGCGAAAATCTGTATGCAGATTTATTCTTTCCGCGCGCGGGCCCGTAATTAATACATTTCCAGATCAACCAGGGACCTTGCTTGCGTCGGTAGTGAGAAGACGCGCCTCCGTCCGTGCACCGCTAAATCGTCGACCTAAAAATACGCACGGATCGATAATAAAAACAGCCGTGGGCGGATTGACACGATCGGACGAATTAATTCAAGCTCGAGTCGGCCGTACGAACGCAAGCGCGTTGCTCCGAACATAAATCGTTCGATCGATTTCGACGAGGCACGCACGCACGCGCACGCGCGAAAAAGTGGATTGTTTTTCTTTCCCTTTATTTATTCACCGCCGGCCTCTAATTTTCTGCGAGCAAACCTATCCTTTTAATTAACCGGGCAGGCTAGCCGTAACGGCTGCGCGATTACGCGTGGGTTTATGAATTATGCAGAATCACGATCGCGGGATGACGCGTCTCTCTCTCTTTCTCCGGCTGCGAAATCGCGATAACGTAATTACGATAAAGCGCGACCGGCGATTTGCAGTTGCGTATAACGCAACGTAGAAAATTCGCTGATTGTTCTGGTGCTGCTCGTTGCTCGCGCAGCACCCCGTATTTGCCGCTATGATATTAAGCTGTCACACAGAAGGCGATAATGCGAACGACTTATCGCACTCGCGCAAAGCCTTGGTGCCTCGGTGCCTACGTGGGCGTGTTTGTGATTTACACCAGCGCGGTTTGTTTCTCATATAATGCCCTCGCGCGAAATCAATCACCCGGCGATTAATCCGCGAGATTCGCTAATTATCGCACCAGCTGCGCCGCTCTTGGCCGGCTGTAAATCTTGTTTCGCAAGGAGTATGAATGGACGGCTCGAAGGTAAAAAAAAACATACGCACACAAAAGGAAAAGAAAGAAAGGGGGGGGGGGGGGGAAAAAAA